GAGGAGGGAGGGAGGGGCAGAGGGAGAGAGGGACAGAGGGTGGCTCCTTCCCACGCTGGGAGCCCAGAGCTTTACAGCTGATGACCGGCAGTCATACACCTGAGACCCTGGAAGGGCCGAGTCAAGAAAGACGCAGCGGCTGGCCTGAGACCTGACCCCAGGCCTCTTCCCAATTCAGAGACACTCCCAACCCCCCCAACAGGGCCCAGCGAGGCTCTTGCCGTGGTGACGGGTGCCGTTTCCTGGAGGAGGCTGCTGTCCCTTCCCCAGCCAAGGCCTGTGCTCCCTCCACCCCCGCCCCCGTGAGTGTCCATCACTGGACGTCGGGGCTGTTCTGTGTCCAGTTTCTTGTCCAGTGACCTGCCCGTGCTAACCCACCCTGGAGACCACGTTCCTGGTACCATCTGTCCTCCTGCCCACCCACCTCAGACACCCAAGACATCTTCTATCTTCTTCACAAGAAGCTTCCATCTGCAGCCAGAACGGGGCCTGGTGGCTCCCCCAGGGCTGCCCCCGTGCTGGGGCTGAAGTCCCAGCCTGTACGGTCAGCGCCCCAGGCAGCAGGCCTTAACCAGACCTGCCTTTCCAACCCAGCTCACCAGACTCTGAAAGGTCTTTATTAGGTTAGTTTTATTACAGAAGGAAGACAAGACCACTTCCATAAAGAAATCAATACAAAGACATTTACACGTCAGTGTACACCCTCTGCAGACTGTCTCCAAAAGACACCAGGGGTCCCCCCACACCTTCTGCCTGGTCATGCAGGGAGGGAGAAGCACACAGAAAGTGAGGTCCACGAGGGCCACTGCGCCGCGTTTTCCTGCCCAGGAAATAGACATTTAGCTCATTTTAAGCAGCTTCACCCCTTTCCCATCGTGGACCCACTGTAGGTGATGAAACCGCCCCCACATCAGTGGGTCTGCAGGTGTGACTGGGTTTGTCAGATGCCTTTGCTTTTTCCTACACGTGAATCTCAAAAGTAAGTCAAATTACAGTCTTTTTCACGTGATAGGTATTTGCAGGGTGCATGCTGAAAGAGTGTCAGGGCTCACACCCTGACAGCAAGTGCGGCGCCCACTCCCTGCCTCCTCTCCAGCACCGCACGTCCCTCGCCTTTTTACTTCCAGGCTGCCTGACCAGCAGGGTTTATGACTGAGGCGGGAAGCCCCATAAAAAAACCGGCAGGGCCCCCAGGCAGGGCCACTGCTCTCGTGATGGCACCATCCGGTTCCCTGGCCCAGAGGCTCTGTCTCACTTTCTGCCTCTGAAACGGCTTACTTACCCCTAAAATGCTATTGGTTCCCTGAGCTCACTGCTGCTTGGTTATTTCCTTCACTCCTGTTTGGTTACTACTCTCACTTCTGATTGGTCCACTTCCCTAACTTCTGATTGGTCCATTTGTAGTACTTCATTTGCATGGAGCTTACTCCTGATTGGTTATTTCTCTCACTTCTGATTGGCCCATTCCCCTCACTCCTGATTGGTTATTTCTCTCACTCCTGATTGGTCTATTTCTACAAAGCTTGTTCCTGGTTGGTCAACTCCTGTTGTATTTTATTTGCATATGATGTTGCAAAGTGTAAAACAGGCAGCCTATAAAAGGCCTGTGTAAACCTATAGATGGGGTCCAGAGCTTGAAGTGTTAACTCCTCTGGGTCTGCTGGTATAATAAACCTAAGTTCTTCAGCTAAGTGCTGCTTGGTCTCTTGCCGGGATGCAGGTTGCTGTCACAACTGAGCTGTAACATACTTTTCTGCAACATGGCTGCAGCCCCAGTAGCTCCAGAGCAACACACAGGCTGTCCACCTGCTCTTGTGAATCACTGTTCACGTCCTCAGGCGCCATCCTGCGGAACTCTTTGCCTGTTCTTACACCATAGGAGCTCTTTGTAATGAAGAAGACAAGCGCTCGGTCTGCCATGTTGCTAGCGGTTTCCCCAGGCTGCTTATCTTTTTCATAATTGTGGTAAAATATACATAAAATGCAGCATCTTAACCATCTTCAGATGCACAGCTCAGTGGCACTAAGTACATCCACACGGCTGTGCAGACATCACCATCATCTTCAGAGCTTTCTCATCCTTCCAAACTGAAACTCTGTCCCTGCTAAACACAACTCCCCACCCCCTCCCCAGCCCCCGGCCCCCCGGTCCTACGTTCTGTCTCTTCCAGGGGCCTCATGAGAAGAATCATCCATTATCAGTCTTTTTACACCTGGTTTATTCCACTTACATAATTCTCACAGGGTTCATCCATGTTGCAGCACGTGTCAGAATTTCCCTCCTTTTTAAGGCTGAATAATGTTCTATCGTATGGATGGACCACGTTTTGCTTTCTGTTCATGTCAGTGACTGTGTGGGTGGCTTCCTGGCTACTGTGAATAACACTGCTGTGAACGTGATGTACAAATATCTCTTTAGTCCCTTCCACTCTTCTGAGTATATGCCCAGAAGCGGAATTTCTGGATCCTGTGGTAACCGTATTTTTAATTTTTTGAGGAACCACCGTACTGTTTTCCACAGCAGCTGCACCATCTTACATTCGCACCAACAGCACATGAGGGTTCCGATTTCTCCGTGTCCTCACCAACACTTGTAATTTTCTGGTTTTCCACACAGTAGCTGTCCTAATAGGTGCGAGGTGGTCAGTCTGTTTATCTTTGGACTTTTCTTTATAAAATGTCTTATCCCACACAAATAGTCTACTTTTACTTGTGGTTAACAAGGTCCATTGGGATTTTTGAAAACACACACAAGGTTAGTAGGATTACACACTTCTACCTGTATGCCAAGAAAAGGCGGGGAGGAGAGAGGAGCCCTGTGTCTGACCACTGAGCCTTCTGGACTCCATGCAGTGGCCCCCTCATGGCCTTGAGCGGCTGCGGGCCACTCCTCCCAGCCCAGCTCAGCCCAGCCCAGCCCAGCCCACAGGCCGCCAGGCTCAGCCCACAGCCACCAGCAGTGACCACAGGGCCAGGCCAGCACTCCGCACTCCTGCGGGCCGGCTCTGCCACATCCCTGGGGGGCCCTAACTGCACTGGAGACAGCATCAGATTCCATCTGCCTCCAGGCCCAGGGCCCGCGTGTTGATTTTACACCTGGACTGCCTTCCCCTTCCACAGAGCCTGCAGCCATTCTCTCATATGACGTTACAGTGACTCCACGCCAGGGAGGCGGGCTGAGGCCAGGGACGGGAAGCCTCTGAGAAAGGGCACGACCCCCAGGCGGGAGTTTTGTCAAGGACGGAGTGGGAGACAGAGCTTTGGCCTTTATTCTGGCAGCACCACCCTCATCTCTGATTAAATGGAACACACACACCTGTTTCCTTCACAATCAGATTTCGCCGAGTCAGGGCAGGTGTCGTGTTTTTTTAATAAAATTATGTTTTAAAAGCTGCCTTTAAATAAAAGCTGCACGAGTGCAGTCCTGACCCGGGGTTGCAGGGCCAGCGAGAGGCCAACGGTGGGTGGACGCGGTGGAGGCGCCCAGGCTGGCCAGCCATGCGGCGGCCACAAGCCTGGTGACCTTGGATCGCCAAGCCTCTGCTGTACTTTCCTCCAGTCCAGGCCACTGCTTGTCACAACCTGCACAGAATTCCCCCCAAAATGAAAAAACACAACAGAGCCACCCACCTGCCAGCAGCATCCCCCAGGCAGGCGAGCTGCGGGGACACAGACACACAGCTGCTCCTGGCCCTGAAATCCACACCGGCACAGGACTTACTCACCACGGATGTTTGTTGTGCCTGGTCTCAGGCCTTCAGACCCTCAAACAGCATCCCGTGGGGGCCCAGCGAGGGCGAGCTAGTCAAGGAGGTCGGGCAGAGGCACCTTTCGCCCCAAGGGCCTCACTAGGCTGGACAGAAGGTCCCAGGGGCCCGTGAGTCCTGGCAGGTGGGCTCCACCCATACCCCCTGTGCACAGAGCCAGGGGGCCTGGGCAGGTGCTAAGTGCTGCGGGCAAGATGTAGGCAGGGGCCAAACCCATCCCCAAACCCATGAAGCCAGGCGCTACAGGAGGGGAGAACCCACTGTCTGACGTCCTGAGTGCAGACCGGCTAGACTGCCTTCCCAGCATGTGATCAGGCTAACCCCCATCGACGTGTGAAGGGCCATGTGTGTCGTGGTCGTGGGGTCTTCTGCTCATCATTTCAGAGCACCATGGGTCTGGCCCCCTGAGCGAAGCCCCATGAGAGAAGCGGAGGCACCTGCCCTCCAGAGCTCAGGCCCGGGGGCTGCCCCGCTCGGACATTTCAGGCCCCACACTGTGGGCGATGAGCCCTCCTTGAAGACACAAAGCACCAGAGTCTTCTCCAGCTAACAAGAAAGGAAAACGGGGCCCACAGGATGGAGAGCCTGCTGCTGCCCAAGAGCAGACCTGGAGCCAGGGGGCAAGGGTGGGCGGCGGGGCAGGACACCAGACCCCACCACCCACTGTCGCAGGGCTCCTCACAAATCACCCGAAAACCCCAGGCTACAGGGACTGACGCAGATGCAGACACACAGACACAAACGTCTACAGAGAGGGCCTGTCTCACTTCCACTGATTTTCCATTTTCTCTCCTTTTAATAACACCCCGAGAAGTTTCAGCTCCACGAAGCTCTCCAGAAGCATCAAAAGCAAAACAAAACTCACCCAGAACCTCCCCTCTGCTCGTGGAGCCACCCCAGGGGTGGCCGTGAGTGGGCAGGGCAGAGGCGGGCCCAGACCCTCAGCTGTGTGTGGCCGGGCCCACTTACCGTTCACGCAGGTCTCTGCCGGGCCGCACAGCTGGTCCTCGAATAGGCAGCCTGGGAGGAGAAGCAGGGGAGAAAGGGTCAGCACCTCCTGGGGAACAGTGCGCCCACTGGGGCCACGGCCTCTGCTGGCTCCCGAGTACTTAGGAACATGCAGACCCGCAGAGGCTCTGGATTTGGCTTCCTTGAGGTGGTGCTGGATCATCTGGCTCCAGTTGTGAGAGGAGTAACCACAGGACCGGCCTCTCCAACGGAGGAGGACCACGATCATCCTGTTCCTCTGGCAACGGGAGGGTCCGCCTGCCCGAGGGGTCTTCCAGGGGAGCTACAGAGGGAGCACGGGGGGTGGGCCATTCTGTCGACACCTCCTGGCGTGCTCCCAGACGGCCAGACCCATGGCGCTTTGTGGGCATCACCTCCAGGGTGGCATCCTGGGGCCTTCCCTCCAACACCCTGACAGTCCCTGCCTGCATCCTGACGTGGACGGCTGGCCTGCACCGCCGCCAGAGAAGGCAGGTGTGGGGAGGGGTGCCAAACGCACTGAGCCACCAGGAGGGGCAGGGCAGGTCAGAGGAGGCGGCCCACCTGCCCTGCGTTCAAGTGCGTCTTCAACACGGGGAAAGGACAAAGAAGACGCAGCCTCGGCAGGGTGTGGACAGCCAACGTGCCACGCAGGTGTAGTCCTCAGGGTTGCCCAGCAAGGGCCACGGATGGACCCGAGTAGGCGCCTTCTGAACACACATGCCTTCCATCAACACTGAGACACACTCCTTCCAAAGCATCATGCCTGCACTCCTGTTTCTCCAACTGACAAGCCCCTAGCCACCCTCTGAGACCCAACTTGAACATCCCCCATGGACTCTCCCATGACCAGACTGGCGACTGGCTCTGTCCAGCACCTGCTGTAGGAATCTCCACACTGTGTTGTGATGTCCACTTAAGGGCACAACTTCCCTGAACATGAGATTCTCAAGGTTAGGGGCCACACAAAGCTACCTTTTTAACCTCCGCCGTTTCCTGAGTGGTGCCCCCATGTCTGGCGAACAGCAGGTGCTGAGGAGTAAATAGATGAGCGAAGGAGGACAGTCGCGCCAGGGTCGCCACAGGGTTTGCAGTCATTGACTCCCGCGTCAGGGAGCTGCTCTGAAATCCTTTGCACTGAAGCACCCATGCCCTTGGGCAGACCTGGGTCAGGAAGGCACGGAGCCAGGGCCCGCAGAAGATGCCAAAGCAAACATCGTCCCAGAACCAGGAGGGACTCTGATGGGGACAGAACTGCCCCAGAGTCAGGAGCGTGAGCGGTCTCCCTGTGCCCTCGTCCCCGCGGGCCACGTGCTAACCTGACTGCTAGTACACTTGCGCGGTTATTTGCTCTAAAATTAAGAAAGACCACCTTTCATTTTGAGTATCAGCCTCAAGCCATCAAGAGAAAGAAAGACCTCGGTCTGACAGAACCTGATCGGACACACCGCCTTCCCCACCTCGGCACCGCCCTCCCCCCACCAGGCAGTCACCTGCCACGCTGCCCCCTTGGGCCAGTGGGCCCACATGTGGCTCTGAAGGCAAGAGTGAGCCCTCGGAGGAAGCCCACAGCCGCCACCCACCCTGAGCCTCCTGGGCCCAGGGCTCAGACCCGGGCTCCTCGCTGGAAGGGTGTGGTCCACCCTGACCATCAAGGCAAGGAGACATGTCCAAAATCCCTCACTCCTGACACCCACAGGTCTCCCCCTGGCTCCAGGACATGCGTGCGCTCAGACACACAGACGTGTGCTCACACTCACACGCTCACACACACGCTCATATACACTCACACACACTCGTACAGACACACTCTCTCACACACTCACACTGACTTTTTAGCCTGAATCCTGCCTCCCCTTGACCTCCGCAGAATGCCACGCAGTGCCTCGGCTCCGCCTTGCGGCCTCTTCCTGGTGTCCTGTTGGGAGTTACAGCAGGTCGGGCTCTCCCGAGAGGAGCCCGGCCGCCCTCCTCTCAGACCCTTGGCTCCCAGGAGATGCTTAGAAAGGGTCTGCGTTTTACAGTGGGAACCCCCGGGGACCCCGCCCTCACTCCCGGCGGCCCCCCGAGCCGTGACTCTGCTGGGGCGGCCAGGGCCCCAGCCCCACCGACCCCCCGCCCCGTGCTCCGGCTGAGCCCAGGCGACCGGCTTCCCTCCTAGGGCTGGTCTCTTCAGCTGCCCAGCCGGAATCAAAGTGACTCCCTCCCCTTCCTTGGGGCTTTTGCAAAAGTGCCGAGAACAGAGCCACTAACTAATTAACACGTGTCAACTAATGTAACGGAGAGGTTTTGTGACTAAAAACTGTAAGAAAAAATGAGTCTGAAATGGACTCTCTCACCAAAAAATGGAACAGCTTCCCTCTCAGACAGACCACAAATCAGGAGAAGACTCTGAGGAACCGAGAGTGTTCTCCCCAGTTCTGTTAAAGCCGAGCGCGGACAAGGCTGCCGGGCTGAGATCGGCTCAGCCTCGGAGGAAATAGAACTCCAGGGAGCCCGCGTGCACGGGCCACCCGGCCGCGGCGACAGGCATGCTCCGCTTCCCACAGCGACTATTCCACAAACAGGGCTTCTCATCGGGACTTCCCTTACTCTGTCTCTTGTCCTCTTCTCCCGAGCCACACAATGTAATGACGGAGTTTCACTCCCAGGCTGGCATCAGCTGAACGCCGACCTGTTACATCGCGTCCAGTCCCCGCCACGCACTGACGGGAGATTCACAGGCGAGGAAACCAGAACTCAGAGGTGAATAATACGCCCACAGCCAGACTCTGCCCCCACCGTGCCCCCTCCCTCTTCTACGCTGCTCCAGGCCGAGGGCTGTGTGTTCACCACAGTCACCTGAGCAGAGAGAGGCGGGAGGAGGCCTGCGGACTCTCATTTGGTGGAGCTGCACTTTCTAGCCCCACCCGTCCACCTGCCCCACTGTCCTGCGCAGAGCAGATTCGTGGGAAGGAGAGGAGAGACCTGCCATCTGGAGGGAGGGAGGGAGGGTCGCTGCCCCTAGAGCCCCCGCACCCACAGGCTCCTTCCCTAAGAAGACAGCCCGGCGCTCTGCTCCAGGCCACACGTGCCTCAGAGCTGGGAACCCCAGAGCAGCTCCCAGCCCAGCAGGCGGGGAGGGAGGCCTGCGGGAGCTGCGCTGGAGGTGCCCAGACTCTGTGCCTTCCGCCCTGCAGAAAACGGAAGGTGGAGCAAGGCCCCTCTGAAGGCTGGGGCCCCGGAGCCCCGCCCAGGGTAGGCGGCTGGCTCGGCTCGGCTCAGGGCAGACGCTGGAGAAGTGTCACCTTGTGCATGGGTCCCGAGTGCGGCCTCCTCCATCGTGGGGCGGGGACAGCTCTGCGGCTTAGGGACCCAGGACCCCTCAGACCTGAGCTGAACTTGATTCCCGCACTGGGGACCCTCACGGCTCCTGCCCACGTTGGTTGGGCCCTCTGACCCAAGGCAGGCGCTCGGTACGCTGGGTGATGCCCAGGTGAGGAAACAGCTCCCGGTTCCCAAAGGGGTTCTCCTCCAGGCCCAGACGCGAGGAGGCCACCCCACATCACAAGGCAGGCTTGCTTTTCTCTCGTTTCTCTGAGAAGCGGCATCGAAGCCAGGTCATGGTACATGGCATTTTGGAGCCCAGGTGTCCACCCTCCTCTCGGGGCTGCCCACTTTCCAGACCCGTCCCCTGTCCCAGACTGACACCCCGCTGGGCAGCAGGAGGGGCCCTCAGTGAAGAGCCGAGGTCTGGGGCATGGGCGACAGGTCCCCTCCTCCACCGTGACAGCCGGGCTCCCCAGGTGACAGGGGCCACCCCTCAAAGAACAGAAAAGTGTATGCTGCAGCTGCCTCCCACCTGCTGCAGGGGGAGGCTGAAGGCCCGGCCTCGCTATGCCCAGGTGGTTCTGGACCCATGTGAATCCTGTCTCCCGGAGGCCCATAAGGCCCAGCTGAAAGGAGCCAGCATCAGACAAACCGGGACGTCGGCTTGTATCAGGCAACATCAGAGACGGTGGTCACCTGTTCACCCAGACCCCGCACCCAGTGAACACTGCCATCTCCACCAAGCCCACGCCTGCCGTCCGGAGGCCGCGAGCAGCTGCCCCAGCCGAACGCTCACTCTCCCCACAGAGAAGTTTCCCTCTGCCCCACCGCCCCGGGCACATGGACAGAGCATCCTCTCAGGACGGACATGCAGTGCCTCCGAGAAGGCATTTTACGCCACAGTTCATGCACAGGGAAGGCAGCAGACGTCGTGACTTAAACGACTAAGGCACAGGTAAGTGACACAAGTGTCACCTCTCCCGCAGGGCCAGCTGTCCCCTACCAGACCCCACCAGACGCCTGGGGCACAGTGACCCAGGACCCTCACACCCACAGCCATCTGCGGCAGGGATTCTGCGCACCCGCCTGTCTCCTCTAAGCCTCGGGAGAAAGCAGCCGTGCCATGAGCCTCCACTGTACGCCTGGTGCCTGGGTTTCGACACCAAAGTCCACACGGGGATTCTCAGTGAAGGGACCTTCTCTGTCCCTCCCCAGTGGAAAACTCTAAGGGGCTGAAAACCTGAAGTTCTGGGGAGTTACATTAATAATTACATTAATTATCTTCTTTCCTAGGAACCACACTGGTGAAGTGTGGGGGGTGTAGGACTGGAGGCGGCATCTCTTCAGAGCCGTCCTCGTTCCTCCTGTTCTGAGGAGGTACGAAGAGCCGCCGTCCATCCCAGCTGGGAACGGGTGGACGCTCCACCCACCACCGGGCCCTCAACCTGGCCCCGAGCACAGACCACGTGTCCTGGCCCCTGCACCCACGTGCTGCTTCTGAACATTTCCGCCAGATCCACGCAAAAATGCGCCTCAGGGTGGGGTGTCCAAGCAGGAACAGAAAACCACGTGCACATCAGAAACCCACTTCTCATGGAATAAGACCCGGAAGAGCAAGCAAGAGATTGCAGAGCAGTGGCCCCGAGGCCGCATGCTCCTGGAGCCGGGATCAGCCAAACCTGCCGCACATCTGGGCGACAAGACCATAGAGCAAAGCCATGACT